ATTGGATGGTGTTTGCTTTCAGTAATTAGTGTCACTACGAAAACGCCTCCCCTCTCCAGTAGGATGATGTGCATTTGCAAATTTGTTAATCTTTTGAATGAATGCAGGAACTGGTAAATCCCTTATGGACACATATGGCTGATGTAATGGCTGACAGTGGGAACCCAACATATAAAGAGACCCAGAAAATGATCCCAGCAGTAGCAGGTGTGTTACTTGTCGACAGACTTAAAACTATAAGCATCTGTGACATCATGGTGGCCCAGATTTATCCTTGTACATGGCCACAGACTTGCATAATTGGCCTTTTGCTCCTATTCCCTCAGTTTGTAATGCAATTAGGGAATGGCATTTAACGCACACTGCAAAGGTCAAACTGAGATTTTGCAAAAAAAACTTCATGAGATAACTTGAAGTCAAATCAGCCCCTCGTCCCTCCAGAATGAATGGAGAGCAGGCATCATTATATGCTGTGCAGCAAAACTTAGATTCATGTGACCTTCGTTATAAAAAGAAATTCATGAATACATGGAAATTCTTTAGCTGCTTTTATTTGGCTTTTATTCTGCTGCAACCTAAATGCAACAGGGAGCGTTATCACAGATCCTTCCTCCCAGCAGCTGCAAGACTCAATAACCATCACTGTTCCCAACAACCACAATAAGTTGTTAAATTAATGCTAATTTTGCACAGCTTTTATCTTATTCAGTTAAATAACTTGCTGCTGCCATTTTGTCATCTCTGATGTTGCTGCTATTTTTCAAATATCCATTACTGTAAAAATGTCCATATCTATATTGTGTTGGGATCTGGAGGTCTGTCCATTTTTCTCCACCAGAGGGCGTTCTAGGTCTCCTGGAGCTGGAGCTGACTTCACCACCTGCGGCGCATTTGCTCATCAGGAGACCAGTATATAAGGAGGCAGAGGACATCACTCTGACGCCAGAGTGTTTTGCCAGTTATGGTTAGCAAACCTGAGCCAACCTGACTGTCTGAATCTCTGACGCCCAGAAAGCCTGAACCTAAACCTAATCCGTTTTGTCATCTCTGCTTCCCAGGTTGAACCTGCCTGAAACCTGAAAC